GACAAGCCTCAAAAAAATGCACTAAGTAAAAGAAGCCAAACACAGAAGCCCACATAGTGCATGATTTCACTGATATGAAATGTCCAGAACAGACAACTCAATTATATAGACACAAAAAGTAGATTAATAGGGTGACAAAAGTGACATAAAAGTATATCATGGTGCTGGTTGCACAACTCAGTAAATATAATAAAAACCACCGAACTGTTCATGTTAGGAGGCAAATTGCATGGTATGTATATTACACCTCCATAAAGCTGTTTAAAAATAAACAAACCAGCCGGCTCGGTGGCTCAGCCTGTAATCCCGCGCCTTTGGAAGGCTAAGGTGAGTGGATTGCCTGAGCCCGCGGGTTCGCAACCTGCATGGGCAACTTGGCGAGACCTCATCTCTACAATAAATCAAAAATGAGCCGGGCGTGGTAGCGCGCGCCTGTAGTTCCAGCTACTTGAAAGGCTGAGGCGGGAGGATCACCGGAACCCAGCAGGTCGAGGCTGAGGTGGCCAAGAGTGGCCACTGCACTCCAGTCTGGGCGACAGAGTGAGACTCCAACTCAAAAAATAAATAAATAAATAAAAATAAAAATCAACAAACCAGGCTGGGCGTGGTGGCTCACGACTATAATCCCAGCACTTTGGGAGGCCCAGGCAAGGGGATTGCTAGAGCCCAAGGGTTGGAGAATAGCCTAGGCAACTTGGTGAGACCTTGTCGCTACAATAAATCAAAAACATTAACGGGGCATGGTAGTGCGTACTTGTAGTTCTTGGAAGGCTGAAGCCCAGCAGGTCGAGGCCACGGTGGTCATGAGCATGCCACTGCACTCCAGCCTGGGTGACAGAGTTAGACTCTGACTCAAAAAAAAAAAAAATTAGCCGGCTGTGGTCGCATATACCTGTAGTTCCAGCTATCTGGAAGACTGAAATGGAAGGATTGTCTGAGCCAAGCAGGTCGAGGCTGCAGTAGCTAGCTGTGTGCGTGACACTGAACTCCAGTCTGGACTCAGAGTGACTCTGACTCAACAAACAAACAAACAAACAAACCAGGGATATCCATTGGGTTCTTAGAGCTTATAAAGTACATTAAATCCCTCAAATTGTGGTCCGAGGACTCCGGCAGGTCCCCCAGAGCTTTTAAGAGGATCTGAGCCGGGCTCGGTGGCTCAGCCTGTAATCCTGCGCCTTTGGGAGGCTGAGGTGAGTGGATTACCTGAGCCCGCAGGTTTGAGACCCGCCTGGGCAGCGAGACCTCATCTCTACAATAAATCAAAAAAATCAGCCAGGCGTGGTAGCGTATGCCTGTAATTCCGGCTACTTGGAAGGCTGAGGCGGAAGGATCGCCGGAGCCCAGCAGGTCGAGGCTGCGGTGGCCGGGAGCGGCCACTGCACTCCGGACTGGGCGACATAGTGAGACTCCAACTCAATAAATAATTAAATAAATAAATACAGGCCATAATAACAATAATACTAAAAGCAATAGCTAACATTTATGTAGGGTTTATAGTGCACCAGGCACTATCATTTGACATATTAGAACTCCTTTAATCCTTATAACAACCTTATGGGCAGGTACTGTTACATTCTCCACTTCACAAATGAGTAAACTGAGGCAGGGGAGAATTCAGTAACTTGCCCAAGGTCACACATGTTAAGTGGTGGACCTGAGATTCAATCCAGAATGCCTGGCTCCAAAGTTAGTGGTCTTCCTCTCTTGCTATCCTTGTGCTACCAATTTTCTGAATTTTAAATATCTAATTTTTTTTTTAAAGTTTTCAAGAAAGTTTGTTTAGAAAGTAAATTACAGGCTGGGCAGGTGGCTCAGCCTGTAATCCCAGCACTTTGGGAGGCCGAGGCGAGTGGATTGCCTGACCCCACAGGTACAAGACCAGCCTGGGCAACTTGGCGAGACCTCATCTCTACAATAAATCAAAAACTTAGCTGGGCATGGTGGCATGCGGCTATAGTTCCAGCTACTTGGAAGGATGAGGAGGAAGGATAACCTGAGCCCAGCAGGTCGAGGCTGCGGTGGCCTTAAGCGTGTCGCTGCACTCCCAGGTGGCAGAGTGAGACTCCGACTCAAAAAAAAAAGAATGTAAATTACAGAGAGAGAGGTTGACTCACCTCCCCAAGGTAGGGGAGGTGGCCAAAGTTAAAATATCTAATTTTTAAATACAGTTTTGAAATTCCATATAGAACCCAGTAAAAATGCTTCCCAAATCTCATTAAACACTTAAACTTGAAATGGAGCCGGGTACAGCGGCTCAAGCCTGTCATCCCAGCACTTTGGGAGGCCGAGGCGAGGGGAATGCCTGAGCCCACAGGTTCGAGAAGAGCCTGGGCAACTTGCTGAGACCTCTTCTCTACAATAAATCCAAAAACAAATTAGCTGGGCGTGGTAGCACACACCTATAGTTCTGGTTCCTTGGAAGGCTGAGGCAGAAGGATCGCCAAAACCCAGCAGGTCAATGCTGGGGTGGCCATGAGAGTGCTACTGCATTCTAGCCTGGACTACGGAATTAAGACTCCAACTCAAATTTAAAAAAAAAAAACTTGAAATGGTTTCCTATTTATTTAAGCAAGCCTTCAATTAGTTTTAATAAAAATTAAATCATAAAATTTTCAGCACTTTATGCAAAATTAATCAAAAAAGTATATAAGCCATTGTTTTATATATATACTTTTTTTTTTCTTTTTTGAGTCAAGGGCCTCACTTTTGTTGCCCAGACTGGAGGGCAGTGGCATGATCACAGTTCACTACAGCCCCAATTCCTGGATTCACACGATCCTTCTGCCTCAGCCTCCCAAGTAGCTGGGACTTCAGGGGATATGCCACCATGCCCAGCTAATTTTTTTTATTTTTGTAGCAACATGGTCTCACTATACTGCCCAGGCTGGCCACAAATTCCTGGGCTCAAGCAGTCTTCCTCCTCAGCCTCCCAATGTGCTAGGATTATAGGCATGAGCCATCACACCTAGCTATGTTTACTTTTAAATTTAATAACTTGAGTTGCAAAGTGTATATATGTATATGTATATATAATTAGTCATAGTTTTACATTAATAGAATTGGATATTATTATAAAAGCAAGGATACAGTAGCTTTTTTTTTTTTGAGTCATTCTCTCACTCTGTCACCCAGTTTAGAGTATAGTGGCCACCGCAGCCTCGACCTGATGGGCTCAGGCAATCCTCCTGCCTCAGTCTTCCAAGTAGTTGGAACCACAGGCAAGCACTACCACATCCAGCTAATTTTCTGATTTGTTGTAGAGATGAGGTCTCACCATGTTGCTAAGGCTGGTCTTGAACTCCCGAGCTCAGGCAATCCTCTCACCTCTGCTTCCCAAAGTGCTGGGATTACAGGCATGAGCCACCACACACAGCCGATACTTTAGCTTTTTTTTTTTGACTTGGAATCTCACTCTGTCACCCAGGCTGGAGTGCAGTGGCCCGCTCATGGACACTGCAGCCTCCCAGCCTCCGAGACCTGCTGGGCTCAGGTGTTCCTTCTGCCTCAGCCTTCCAAATAGCTGGAACGATAGGCATGCGCCACCACGCCTGGCTAATTTTTTTTTAATTTATTTATTATAGAGAAGAGGTCTCGCCAAGTTGCCCAGGCTGGTCTCGAACCCATTGGCTCGGGCAATCCTCTTACCTCGGCCTCCCAAAATGCTGGGATTATAGGCATGAGCCACCACACCCGACCAATACTGTAGCTTTTAAAGGAAAAAAAAATATTAAATTGAGCCTGACTATTGATTTAAATTGTTTCAAATCACCTTTATGTTAATTTAAAATCTGTAACTTACTAGTTACAAATATAGGTCTATAAAATCATAACTTGCTTTATGAACTAGCTTGCTATTCTGTAAACCAGACAGTAATAAACCTCATATCATTAAAAAAAATTCAGCTTTTAATTTGCGAACTTTGTTCCCCTCTCTTTTGCTCATACTGTCATCCAAATCTAGAAGCAATGCTCAAGTGTTCAGCACTTGACACACTTAACACCCTCTGCTCCTGACAGTCTCTTCTCTCAAAGATCTTAACATCTATTGTACAGCTGGAATTAACAATCCAAAACAAGTCAGGTGCAGTGGCTCATGCCTGCAATCCCAGTACTTTGGGAGGTGGAGGCAAGAGGATTCCCAGAGCCTAGGGGATCAAGACCAGCCTGGGTAACTTGGCAAGACCTTGTCTCTACGATAAATCAAAAAATTAGCCAAGCATGGTGGTGTGCACCTGTAGTTCCATCGACTTGGAAGGTAGAGGCAGAAGGATTGCCTGAGTCCAGCAGGCCGAGGCTGTGATGGCTATAAGCTTGCCACTGCACCCCAGGCTGGGAGAGAGTGAGACTTTGACTAAAAAAAATTCAAAACAATCTATAATAATTAAATTAGTACAGATTATATCTGATATTTATTTATTTATTATATTTTATTTTAAAGATATGGGGTACAATTCAGGAGTAGGTATACATGTGGACATCGTACAGGTAAAGTTTGGGCCTCCCTTTGGTCCCCTTGCTGAGAGGTATTTAGAGGAGAGAAACTGCTCAGGGCTGCAGGAATACCTTCATGATTCGGCACTTGAAATGGCTCTGATGGGATTTGAACTGGCAGAAGTAAAAGACACCCACGCCAAGGAACAGTCTAAAAAGTTTTCCCTCTACTCTTTTCTGCCTGTTTTCATGCTCCCTAACGCTCCAGCAAGTATCGTCTCCTTCAGGAAGGCTTTCTCCGCAACTTCACCCACCACTCACTCTCTTCTCAGAGCTTCCAATACTCTCAGCCCTAAAGCCTGGCTGTGACGTTATTATACAATGGCACCTTGTCAACCCATATGGTTAGACCTTATTTCTCTGACTTCAGTACAGGCTCACAGAAGATAGTAACATGTCTCTACAGAGTCAGGACTCCCTATCTGTTCAATTAAACTTAATTCAGTAGCATTGTTGCTTGCAATTGTTGAAAAATCCATTGTGCAATGCGTTGTTTCTTAACTTACCGGGCATCTCCTTTGGAAAGATTCGTATTTACAGGATTAAGAACAACCTTGTTTGCATCAACATCCACCACACATTTGGTATGCAAGTCGATTTCTGCAGATAAAAAAGAAAAACAGTCATTTTAAAAATGCAATGTATTTCAGAAAAAGTCTTTAACAAAAAAACCAACACTCTTTCATAATAAAAACACCTGACAGACCAGGAATAGAAGGAAACATCCTCTACCTGATAAAAGGCATCAACAAAAACCCACAGTTGACATCACACTCAAAGTGAAGGGGTAAATGGTTTACACTCTAACATCTGGAATAAAATATCGATGCCTATTACCCAATGTCTTTTTTTTTTTTTTTTTGAAAGCAGGATTTATTGAGAGGACAGAAAAGCTCCCACAGTGGGAGGGGACCCAAATGGGTTGCCCCCAATTTCTATCCAACATTGTACTAGAGATTCTAGTTAGGGCAGTTAGACAAGCAAAACAAATAAAAGACATCCACAATGGAAAGGAAGAAGTAAAACTACCTTTATTTGTAGATAATATGACCTTGTATATAAAAATCCTAAGGAATCCACTAAAAAACTATAGAATAAACACGTTCTGCAAGGCTGCAGGATACAAAAACATGCAAAAACTGGTTGTGTTTCTATATGCCTACAATGAAAAACCTTAAAATGAAATTAAGAAAAAAACTTCATCTGTAATAGTATCAAAACTAGTAAAATACTTAGAAATAATTAAAACAAATGCAAAGCCAGGTGGTGGCTCACGACCGTAATCCTAACACTTTGGGAGGCAGAGGCAAGAGGATTGTCTGAGCTCAGGGGTTCGAGACCAGCCTGAACAACATGGCGAGACCTCATCTCTACAATAAATCAAAAATCAGCCAGGTGTGGTGGCACACACCTGTGGTTCCAGCTACTTGGAAGGCTGAGGTGCAAGGGTCACCTGAGCCCAGCATGTCAAGGCTGTGGTGGCCGTAAACATGCCACTGCACTCCAGCCTGGGTGACAGATTGACACTCCAGTTCAAAAAAGAAAAAAAAACAAAATCAAAAGCAAGACTTGTACACTGAAAATTCCAAAGCACTGTTGAAAGAAATGAAAGTCTTATGATAGACATCCCAATTACTCTGATTTGATCATTCACATTGTATACAAGTATCAAAATACAAAATATCACATGTACTCAGCCGGTAGACGCGGGGTGGCCGTGAGTATGCCATTGCACTCCAGCCTGGGCTACAGAGTGAGACTCCTTGGAAGGCTGAGGCGGAAGGATCGCCGGAGCCCAGCAGGTCAAGGCTGCGGTGGCTGGGAGCGGCCACTGCACTCCAGTCTGGGCGACAGAGTGAGACTCCAAAAAAAAAAACCCAAAAAAACAAACAAACAAAAAAAAAACAGAGACTCCAACTCAAAAAAAAAAAAAAAAAGATTAACAAGCAGATCTTAAAATCCATAAGGAAATGCAAAGGATTCGGGAAAGCCAAAACAATCTTGAAAAAGAACAAGCAAAAAAAGAAAGAAAGAAAAAAGAACAAGCAGAAAAACTCACACTCCCCTGTTTCAAAACTTAACTACAAAGCTACAGTAATTAAGACAATGTGGCACTACTATAAGGACAGAATGACAGATATAGAAATCAATGGAACAGAATTCGGAGTCCAGGTCAGGTGTGTTGGCTTAGCCTGTAAACCCAGTACTCTGGGAGGCCCAGGCAAGAGGACTTCCTGAGCCCGGGGTTTGAGACCTCAACTCTACAATAAATTACAAAAACTAGTCGGGTATGGTGGCGTGTGCCTGTAGTCCCAGCTACTTGGGAGGCTGAGGCAGAAGGATCACCTGAGCCCAGCAGGTTGAGGCTGTGGTGGCTGTGAGCGTGCCACTGCACTCCAGCCTAGGTGACAAGAGTGAGACTCCAACTCAAAAAAAAAAAAAGAAAGAATTCAGAGTCCAGAAATAAAATACCACATTTATGGTCTATTGATTTTTGTCATGGGTGCCAAGACAATTCAAAGGAGAAAGAATTATCTTTCAACAAATGGTGCTGGGACAATTGAATATCCAGATGCCAGAGGATGAAGCTGGACCACTACCTCACACCACATTAAAAAAATTAACTCTAAATTAGTCAAAGTTTTAAATGTAAGACCTAGAACTATAAAACTTTTAGAAGAAAACATAAGCATAAATCCACATGGCCTTGGATTAGATAATGAACACCTAAAACACAAGCAACAACAAGAAAAACAGCTAGATCGGACCTCAACAAAATTAAAAAATGTTGTGCTTCATAGGACAACATCAAGAGAAAAAACATATCAGGAGAATATTCTTAAAATTGCAAATCATCTGTCAAATAAAGGATTTACATCAGAATATATAAAGAACCCTTACAACTCAATAATAAGAAGACAAACCAATTTTTAAATTGACAAAAGACCTAAATATTCATCTCTCAAAAAAAGATACAAAAATGGTCAATAAACTCAAGAAAGATGCTCAACATCCTTCAACATTGGAATGCAATTCAAAACTACAATGAGAAACCACTTCGCACCTACTAGGATAACCACAATCAAAAAGATTTTAACAAGGTTTGGCAAGGATGTGGAAAAATTAGAGCCCTCATACATTACTGATAGGAATGCAAAGTGGCGCAACCACTTTGGAAAACAGTTTGGCAGTTCCTCAAAAAGTCAACAGTGCTACCATCCGACCCAGCAATTCCACTCCTAGATATACACCCAAGAGAAGTAACAACCTATGTCCACACAAACTTGTACATAAATGTTCACAGCAGCATTATTTGGATATTGATAATAGCCGAAAAGCAGACACAACCCAAATGTTCATCAACGAATAAATGAATAAATATGGTATACCCATAGAATGGAACATTAATCTACAGGAAAAAAGGGTGAAGTACTGAAACAAGCGACAATGTAGATGAAGCTTATGCTAAGTGAAAAACGCCAGTCACAAAAGACCACACAGTATATGATTCCACTTATTTGAAATGTCCAGGAGAGGAAAATCTATGGAGACAAAATAAATCACTGGTTGCATAGGGCCAAGGAATGACTGATAACATGTGCTGTCTTCTTTTGGGTGTGATGAAAATATTCTTTTTTTTTTGAGTTGGAGTCTCACTCTTGTCACCTAGGCTGGAGTGCAGTGGCCGCTCCCGACCACCGCAGCCTCGACCTGCTGGGCTCCGGCGATCCTTCCGCCTCAGCCTTCCGAGTAGCTGGAACTACAGGCGCGCGCTACCACGCCCGGCTAGCTTTTTTTTTGAGTTGGAGTCTCACTCTGTCACCCAGGCTGGAGTGCAGTGGTCGCTCCCGGCCACCACAGCCTTGACCTGCTGGGCTCCAGCGATCCTTCTGCCTCAGCCTTCCAAGTAGCTGGAACTACAGGCACATGCCACCACCCCCGGCTAATTTTTGATTTATTGTAGAGATGAGGTCTCGCCAAGTTGCCCAAGCAGGTCTCGAACACGCGGGCTCAGGCAATCCACTCACCTCGGCCTCCCAAAGTGCTGGGATTACAGGCTGAGCCACCGAGCCCGGCTGATGAAAATATTCTAAAATTAATTATGCCAGTAGTTGTACAACTGTAAACATACTAAAAAACACTGTATTGGTTGAATTGTATGGGATGTGGATTATGTATCAGTATAGCTGGTTTTTGTTTTTGTTTTTTTGAGTTGGAGTCTCACTCTGATCGCCCAGGCTGGAGTGCAGCGGCACGCTCACGGTCATCATTGCCTCAACCTGTTGGGCTTAGGTGATCCTTCCACCTCAGCCTTCCTAGTAGATGGAACTACAGATGCATGCCACCACACCCGGCTAGTTTTTTGTGATTTACTATGGAGATGAGATCTCACCAAATTGCCCAGGCTAGTCTTGAACTCCCAGGCTCAGGTAGGCAATCCTCTCACCTCGGCCTCCCAAAGTGCTGGGATTACAGGGTAAGCCACTGCGCCGAGTCAATATAGCTGTTTTTTAAAGTACAGTACAGACCATGTCTTATTTATATTCTCATATTTTTAAATTAATATAATTTTCTGACCCAAGATGTGAAACTGCTTCTGTTTGCCTTACCCCTGGTACCAAAAGATAAGCTCCAAGGAAAGGAGCAATGTCAGAGTTAGTTTGTATTTCCTAAAGAACCTTGGCTAAATGTCAATGTCATATTCATTTCAACTTAAGAGCATTTCCACTGTTAGGAAAGTTTGTTTTGTTTTGTTTTTCATCTTAACTTACATAACTAAGACAAATGAAAAACATAGTAAAACAAAAATTTCCTTCCCTGTGCCAGCCACAACTTAAGCTTTTTCACATCACTTATTCTACATTTATTCTCAAATATATATTCAAAAAGTTAAGCCAGGCACAGTGGCTCACACCTGTAATCCCAGCACTTTGGGAGGCTGAGGTCAGAAGATTGCCTGAGCCCAGGGACTCGAAACCAGCCTAGGAAACTTGGTGAGACCTCATTTCTACAATAAATCAAAAAGTTAGCTGGGTATGGTGGCACGCTCCTGTGGTTCCAGCAGCTAGGAAAGCAGAGCCAGAAGAATCACCTGAACCCACCAGATTGAGGCTGCGGTGGCTGTGAGCATGTCACCGCACTCCACTCTTGCCTGGGCAACAGAGTGAAACTCTGACTCAAAAGATAAAAAAGTACAAAGTTAGTAACCTTTCTTTTAGCAAATACATTTTTCAGGAAAAGAGAACCAAAAGGAAAACTTCCCAGCTATGTTTTACCTTAGTGTGGAAGACCAACCTCAAAAAGGCAAATAAGTTTTACTATGATAAACTAGTATTAAAGTCTGTTTCTTTTTATTCTTTTTTTTTTTGAGTCAGAGTCTCACTCTGTTGTACAGGCTGGAGTGCAGTGGCACATTCACAGCCAAGTGATCCTTCTGCTTCAGCCTTCCAAGTAGCTGGAACCACAGTGTGCACCACCATGCCCAGCTAAATTTTTTTAAAATTTATTGTAGAGATAGATGAGGTCGCACCAAGTTGCCCAGGTTGGTCTCGAACACCTGGAATCAGGCAATCCTCTTCCTCCACCTCCCAAAATGCTAGGATTACAGGCGTGAGCCACCACACCCGGCTTTAAAGTCTATTTCTAATGTTTTGTGTTTAAAACCACTCTAAGCCATCACAGAAATGCTACAAGAAAGTCTCAGCCACACTGCAACAACTTTTCAAACACACCATTTTACTTCTTCATTTCCTTAGGCCCAGAGCTCCAAGAAAGTCTGCAAGCATAATACTTAGTTCAAACCACAGCTTGATGGCCTCTGACCATAATGTATTGGCTGGTTCCTTACAGTCAAGTCTGTACTATACACAAATTCATTATCAACTCTCCACAAATCTCTCATGACTCAGCATCTACTGTCTTACCACTCACCACAAAGTTAGTTGTTAGTTTCTTGCAAGAACGCTTGGTCTGAGCAGAGGAGCTGCACGTGTAGCTCTACATGCAGAAGGATACAGCTAGAAGGCATGCCTCAAAAACTGGGTGTTAATCACGTATTTTCCTCCACTGTGAAAACAAAGTGCAACTCCTTTGTTTCAAATGATCTTGAATTAAGAAGAGATGCAGCCGGGCGCAGTGGCTCACACCTAAAATCCCAGCACTTTGGGAGGCTGAGGTGAGAGGATTGCCTGAGCCTGCGGGTCCAAGATCAGCCCAGGCAACTTGGCAAGATCTCATCTCTACAATAAATCAAAAAATTAGGCGGGTGTGATGGCGCACGACTGTGGTTCCAGCTACTTGGAAGGCTAAGATGGAAGGATCACCTGAGCCCAGCAGGTCGAGACTACAGTGGCTGCAAGCACCATGCCCCTGCACTCCAGCCTGGGCAACAGAGGGAGACTCTAGACGCCAACTCAAAAAAGAAGAAGAAGAAGCAGCGATGCAACATTGTCCTTCAACATCTATATACTTCTTTCCTATTTTCTTCTTCCTCTGCCACCCGCTCATCTCTATGTATGTCATCACATACAACTAATAGTTTGGAAGCGTTAAATGGTAAGATCAAGGAAACAATTCCTGGAAAACCCAACATAATACAAAGAATCACCTAATAATAATACGTCAAACCTAAACTAATTTTGTGCTAAAAACAGCAACTTATAAATGTCCCTTACAGGCCAGCTCTGAAATCCCAGTACTTTTTGAGGCCAACACGGGAAGACTGCTTGAGCCTAGGAGTTTGTGATCAGATATGGCAATAGAGTGAGACCCTGTCTCTAGTTAAAAAAGAAAATAAAACAAAGAAAAGAAATGTCCCTTACATCCTTACACCCAAAGACAGCATTTAATAGGTAAATAACTATCTTCACTACGTTATAAGATCTACACTTTTTTTTTAGATGGAATCTCACTCTGTTGCCCAGACCAGAATGCAGTGGCACACTCACAGTCACCACAGCCTCGACCTGCAAGACTTAGGTGATCCTTCCGTCTTAGCCTTCCAAGTAGCTAGAACTACAGGTATGCGCCACCACAACTGGCTTATTTATTTATTTATTTATTTATTTATCATAGAGATGAGGTCTTGCCAAGTTGCCCAGGCTGGTCTCAAACCCCTGGACTCAAGAAGTTCTCTCGTCCCCACTTCCCAAAATGCTAGGATTACAGGCATGAGCCACCGCACCTGGACTAGATCTACTTTATCAAATAAAATTCCCACCTTAACTTTGTTAACTGAGGACAGATATTATGAGAAGACTTTTCATGGACTGTTTAGAATATGTATGGGTTTAGCCAGGCATGGTAGCACATGCCTGTAGTTCCAGCTACTTGGAAGGCTCAGGCGGAAGGATCGCCGGAGCCCAGCAGGTCGAAGCTGGGGTCACCATGGGTGTGCCACTGCACTCCACCCTTGGTGACAGAATGAGATTCCAACTAAAAAAGAAAAAGAAAAAAAAGAATATGTATGGGTGAAACATTTAGGATGCATACCCAGGCAAACAAATACAGTGAGATTTGATGAGAGTTTAATCCTCAGATAGATGAAAAGCATTTTATTATAAAATGCTATAGCTAGTGTACCATCAAATGGTGAATTAAATTATGTTGCTACAATATTCGCAATATGACACACTCGGCCAGGCGCGGTGGCTCAAGCCCGTAATCCCAGCACTTTGGGAGGTCAAGGCGAGAGGAATGCCTGAGCTCAGGGACTCAAGACCAGCCTGGGCAACTTGGTGAGACCTCGTCTCTATAATAAATCAAAAATCAGCCGGGCGTGGTAGTGCGCGCCTGTAGTTCCAACCACTTGGAAGGCTGAGGCGGAAGGATCGCCTGAGCCCAGCAGGCCGAGGCCGCGGTGGCCATGAGCGTGCCACTGCACTCCAGCCTGGGCTACAGAGTGAGACTACGACTCAAAAAAAAGAAAAAAAAAATGTGGTCTAAAAAAAAAAACCACAACAACAACAAAAAAACCTACCAAAAACTCAAAAGATAAACACCCACCGCTTAGTTTAGAATAATATTTAGATTAGAAAGATAAGAACCTAGCTGCTATGCACTGCCTTTGTAAAGATGGCACAAAGTATAGCAACACTATTTACAATGGCTAAGAGGAAGAAGCAACCCAAGTGTCCACTGACAAATGAATGGATAGTACCTTCCTCTTGGTTTAGAACAATACTTAGATTTAAAAGATAAGAACTTAGCTGTTATGCACTGCTTTTGTAAAAATGGTACTGACGTACAACCATGTTCATGGCAGCATTATTCACAATGGCTAGCAGGTAAAAACAACCCAAGAACCCACTGATGAATGGGTAAACAAAATGTGGCATATTATTCATCCTTAAAAGGGGGGGAATTCTGACACATGCTGCAAATGGATGACCATTAAAGACATCATGCTAAGTAAAATGAGCCAGTCACCAAAAGATAAATACTGTATGAGTCTACTTATGTGAGGTACCTAGAGTAGTCAAATCCATAGAGATGGAAAGTGAAGTGAGTTGCCATTGTTTAATAGTTACGGAGTTTCCATTTTACAAGATGAAAAAAGTTATGTGAATGGATGGTGGTGATGGTAACACAATGTGAAATGTACTCAATGCTACTGAACTGTGCACTTAAAAAGATAAAACAATAAATGTTGTATTATGTGTCCTTTACTACAATAAAAAATATAGCACTAAATACTCATCATTATAATAATAATACATAGTCAAAAGTTTATTCATAGTGAAGCCTTAAGTAATAACAGGATTTAATTAGTATTATCTCTGAAAATCAATCAAAAACCAGAGTGGGCCAGGAGTGGTAGCTCAAGCCTGTAATCCTAGCACTTCGGAAGGCCAAGACAAGAGGACAGCCTGAGTTCACAAATTCGAGACCAGCCTGGGCAACTCGATGAGACTTTGTCTCTACAATAAATCAAAAAATTAGCCGGGCACAGTACACACACCTGTAGTTCCAGTTACTTGGAAGGCTGAGGCAGAAGGATCACCTGAACCCAGCAGGTCAAGGCCATGAGCGTGCCACTGCACTCTAGCCTGGGCGATAGAGTGAGACTCTAACTCAAAAAAAAAAAAAAAGAAAAAAGTGATCTTAAAGTTAAGTAATACTTTAAGATTATGTCACAGCATCAAGCTTTTCAGTACTCAAACCATGAATGTTTTGATGTATCCGTGAGTCCTCAAAAGTAAAAAAAAGAAAGGTACTTCACTAATATTAAAGATTCCTTATTATTTTGCAAACAAGTTCCCTTTCCAGGGCAAACTCCCCGTGATGAATATTAAAATATCAACATCTGACAACTCAGCTTATTCAGCCAGCATTATTAGTCACCTTGTAAAAGTGAACAATAATTTGAAACAAGTCTTTCTTCGATGTACAAATAGCTGTGGCTTGTGCCCCAATGACATCACAGTAAAACACGGGCAGGGCACAGGAGACTCCCTTTACATGATCCATGCTCCTTCTGCGGAAATGCATCATTCCCAGCGTGAACAAAGTAATTCTGAATTGCCCATTTAGTAATCTGCTTTTCTAATTTGCCAGAAAATTAATAATGATTTCTAAATCAAATCTACTACCTCCCTTTACCTACCAGTCATGTTCCTAAAAAGCTAACTATAACTTACTCTTATTAAAATCACTTGGGTCCATTTTTTTTTTTTAAGTTGGAGTCTCACTCTGTCACCCAGGCTGAAGTGCGGTGGCATGCTCATGGCCACCGCAGCCTTGATCTGCTGAGCTCAGGCGATCCTTCCACCTCAGCCTTCCAATTGGCTGGAACTACAGGTGTGTGCTACCACACCCGGCTAATTTTTCTACTTATTGTAGAGATGAGGTCTTACCAAGTTGCCCAGGCTGGTCTTGAACCTATGAACTCAGGCAATCCTCTTGCCTTGGTCTCCCAAAGTGCTGGGATTACAGGCTTGAGCCACCAAGCCCGGCCTTGGGTTCATTTTAAAAGGTAGA